ATGTGGACGATTTAGTTGAAAATTGTGACACTGCTAAGGTTGATGTAGCTGTCAATGTGAATCAATCAATACAAAAATATGGTGATGTTAAAAATCTTGGTAGCGGTAATTATGATTTTTAGATTTTGGGAGATTTTATTAATGACATGGATGAATTGAATTATGGAGTGTTGGATGAAGTATGGGTGAACATGTTTGACTTTTTTGACAGAAGTGATCAAGTGAAGAAATTGTTCAAGAAGTACAAGTTTCATCCACTACCGTGTGCAAAGATGAAATTGAAGACCAATTATGATCAGTTGGGATTGAATGTTGTTTATACTGCGACTGAATTTTTCATGGAAGCTCAAGCTCGTGATAGCATTGGAGATGACAACATCAAGGTTTGGTTTAAGGGAGGCAATGAAGGAAATTAAACCAAACTATTTTAGTATTAGTTTCCTAATTCTTTTTGGTGTCTTATTTGTTTAGTTTCCATATTATATTAGGAAATTTCAAGTCAGTTTGCAAGTAAGTTTTGGTTTACAATTGTACTATTTGTTTTAGGAAGTTTTGGAATCTATAAATACTACCAATCTAGTAGGTTATTATTTGAAGAGTTGAGTTGAGTCTAGATATTAGGTTAGAGAGAAAGTCTCATAGTTGTGATTTGTGAGTTGTCGTGAGGGAAAGGGTACGACTTGATATTTGTTATTATTGAATTTTGGGTTAATAAATTATTGAGTTATTATTGTTTGTTTATTCTCCTCTTCCCTCGTATTTTTATGTGTCAAATTGCTTTCACTGTGCACGTTATTTTTTCGTGCCAACAGCTCTTAATCTTGTGTTTTGTTGTTTGCCATTGATTGCCATCTATTACTTTTGTTGGCAATGGATCCTTTACAGCATTCAAGTGATATATATATATTTGGCCAACCATGTTAATGGAGGAGCGATGCCAATCCTACTTTATTAATTACAGAAAGAAAAGAAATAGACAATAGAGGGGGACTATACCTGAACCTCCAGTACATGAATCAGAGCTAGTAAACCAGGAGTACTACTCTAGTAAACTTTCTGCCCCGATACATTAAGGGAAGCTAAAGAATCAGCTGCAGCATTTGCTTCCTTGTAAACATGGATCAATGTCGCCGAGAGCTGAACCTTTAAATCCTGAATACGTCTCAGCACATTAAATAAAGGCCATGTTGCATTAGCCAAAGAGGATACCAATTGAACCAATGTCTCGGAACCTACCTCAACTTGGAACCTACATATCCTTGCACCACACAGAGTTGCAAACCGAAGATCAAAGCACTAGATTCCGCCAACAATTATGAAACAGAAATGCACCATCTTGTCCACGATGTCTTTTTTTAAAGAAAAGGTCTTCAGTTTGCTGCAATGTGCTTCATGTTCATGCTTATTTCCCTTTTCAAGTTTGTTTAGATTTCATGCTTTCATGTTTCCATTCGTTTAAAATAAACCATGCAATATATGTATTTTTCAAGCTTTTACGTTTCCAATTGTTTAAAAATAAATCCCTTAATGTATTCTTGTGAAAATTTCAGTTACAAGTTTTTTCATTAAACTCTTGTTTCTTTGTGCTTAGAAATGAATGTCATTCCAGTGTAAACAGCAAGAGTATGACGTTTATTGTTTGTGTTCTTTCAATTTTTAGAAACTAAAATCATCACTTTCATGACATATGCTAGTTACTACTTATACCACACTAATTGTAGAAATTTTTTGTCTAATTCATGAATTTAGCTAATGTAAGGAGTGTAACTAATAATAATTCAATCTGAAATAAAATATTTTAGTTGTATAGGGACTTAGGGTGCGTTTGATAATATTGAAATTTGAAAACTGAAATTTAAAATCTAAAATCTGAAATTTGAATCCATTAAGTTATTGAATTGTTAAGTATTAAATATAATACATTTGAGTTTATATCACATTAAGTGATACATGAATAGTTCATTATTTATTTTTGAGAATAACTTTGTTTAGAAAATTCAGTGCCACTTAATTAGTTCATATGTTTAGTTTTTGATTATCAAATAATCTAAACATATTAAAATCTGAATTCATTAAATTTAAGTACTGAATTGAGTTATCAAACAAGATCTTAACACAATGGGGGTTTCAAAGAAGTGCAACCGTTGAAGATTTTTGAGTGATAATTAGACTATCTTTAGTCTGTAGAGTATGTATACTTTTCTCGTTAAGTATCCATGTATTAGGTGTTAATTCACAGCAGATCATTTTTAAGATTTCTTTGGATTCCCTTAGTTGTAAGTGTATAATAGTCTCTGTCTAACTGCGAGTGAGACTAAAAATATAAAAAGTTCAAATTGCTGACTTGTTGAACTACAAAATAGTGATCTATACTCCAGAAATTCGCTAAACTTGATTGACAATGAACTATGTATACGTAAAAGCTTCCTGTTATTGCTGCTAAAATGAACCAATATATGTATTATAATTTCATTCAGGATTGGTCTATGGTCAATATTTATTTATTTAAACTAATAATGACCAAATTTGCATAAGTTTGTGACCATTCATTTTCTTTCCTTAGTAAAGGTCAGCAAACATCTTCCTAGTGAAGATAACGCTATTTATTCCTAGTGTATACACTGTTAGTGTATATAAGATTTACTTTTTATTTAATGTTTAATTTCATTAGGTTAAAAAAATATTTTTATTTTCAGGGATAATTTCATAAAGATCCCATGAGGTATTTAACAATTTCACTAAGTTCCCTCGAGGTTTTAAAAATTATACTTACCTCCCTCAATTTGATACTTTTACTAATCAAACCTTAAAATAGGGTCAAATTTTTAATGAATATCCTAAAATGTCCACATCTAATAAAGTTTAATTTATTCTTCTAAACAATTATATAGTAATTTAACACAATTACAAAGGAATGAGTGTCAAATTTTTTATGCCCGTATTTGTTATTTGGTAATCAACTACAACAATATATCTCATTAGGACAGTCTACTTTAATATGCTTTATTGAAGATTGAGATTCTTATTAAGATACAGAAGAAAGTGTCACCATAATTTTTTTTTTAAAGTTTGTGGATTAGTCAAGTGATGGAACTACCATAGTTTAGTAGTGATTTTAGGTCATTTATTTTTTAGTTATTGTTCATTTATTGTTTATTTTGATATTAGAAAAAATAAATAAACAAACAAAAGCCTCAAAAAGAATTAGATAATATTTAAAGTTATAAAAAAAATACTATTAGTTTGACATATGATTACGATAGAGGCTAGGGACTAATAGTACAATGATTTTGCTGATAAAATATAAGAGTGATGAATATGAGCTAAAATAGAAAAAAAAAAGAAGTATAAAACCCATCCTTTGTATTAAGGCTGTTAAAAAAGAACTAAAAATGTAGGTAACCAAGAAACCAAATTTATTCAAATCGAAAAATAAGGTAATCAACTCGTAATTTTTAAAATAATTAGGTTACCTAAACCTATTTGAAAAATTAGGTTAGAATATGATTTTCAAGTTTTAAAGACTGCGGTTATCCAGACTAGGGGTGTTTCGCGAATCGAGCCACTCGCGAGCCGATCGCGAGCGGCTCGAATACGAGCTCGACTCGAGCTCGTCAATATCGAGCTCGAGCTCGAGCTCGAGCTAATTAAGTCGATCTTGAGCTCGAGCTCGAGCTCAAAAACATTAAGCTCGTTGGCTCGCGAGCGGCTCACGAGCTCAATTATATATATATTTTTTATTTTTTATTTTAATAGTAAAATTACATATATATCCCTAATATTTTATTATTTATTAAAAAATTATTGTTTTATTCATTTTTTTAAAAAAATTATTTTTTATTTTTTAAAAATAAAATAATAATTATTATTTTTTTTTATTTTTTAAGCTCGAGCTCGAGTTCGAGTTTCACAAAATTAACTCGAGCTCGGCTCGATTAGCCAAAACTCGACTCGAGCTCGGCTCGTTTGCACCCCTAATCCAGACCTACCTATGTATGTGAAAGGTTCATTAAGATAACCAATATCCAAACCTCAACCCATAATTATTTAGTAATTTACTAATAATTTAAGTTATGAGACCCATGCCATTACACATTTTATTTTTCACAACTTATAAATTTGTATATTTAACCCTATCTTCCATTTGCTTTTTCCATTTCCTACATTTGTTGCCACCAATTTCATTTACTCTACCACTCTACTTTTTGTCTTTCTTAACAATTTATTTTTCTTCCTCATAAATTATATCCACTTTACCATTCTAATTATTTTATTTTTAATTTTGAGAACTTACATGTTTGGTTTGTGAAGCAACCTGTCATCCTTAATAAAAAAATGAATTATTAGTTTTCAAGAAGTAGAGGAAACAAAAACAATTTTTCGGAACATTTTATGTTTTAATTATCTATCGTGTTTTGATTTTTTATTCTATTGGTGATTTTTTAGAGTTGTAGGACTAAGCACTCTTATTAATTTGGACAACCGTTGTATTGTTTTCTTGGTTAATCTAATTTTGTTTTTCTTTTTATCCTACAAGCACAAAAGGATTAGGTTACCCTATATATTCGACCCTATTCTACAGGTTAATCGGTTAGCAGTTAACCGATTGAATAGAGGTAGGATATGGAATGTAATTTTTGCTGAACCGTTACTTATGGTTAGGATCCCTGAAATTGCAAATGGACTGATTATTCATGCATGAATACCCCTACTTTGTATATAAGCATGGCAAAGTTGCAAACAAAGGAGTTTTATAAGAATGTTAAGACTAGTATTGTCATTTTAAATGGACAAGGAAAGTGGGTATACTTTTTTACAAAATCAAGGGCACTAAGTAAATTTATTAGAAAACTCATGGGAGGTTTCTGGTTTTATGCCATTAAACAGTTATCAAATCAATAAGCCACAATTTCCCACCTATACTCATAAAAACCACTTTCAATCTTAATTTAAAAAAAAAAGGAAAACTCTAAAAATAGCTTGAAATTACTCCCCACCCCAGCACGCGGGAGGCGAGGGCGATAATAAAATTGGCGCGCAAAATACAATCAGCTCATTTTCCTCCATTCTCATTCCTTTCTGCCCTCCCAGATTCCCCCAAATTGTGCCCAAAATCCCCAAATCAAAACCCTAAATTTTTCGCCCTAATTCACTAAAAGCAGAATTCTCTCGGAAATAACTTGGCAAATCAGGTAAGCCCTGCCCCCCTCTGAAGAAATTCTCTAAATTTCTTACTGGGTCTGCTGATTATAATTTGCTGCGATTTTATTGCTATACAAGTCTGTTGTGATAGAGTTAAAGTAGTGGTTATTTAAGGAATCGGAAAGTTCTACCTTTTCATTCTTGTTTTTTTTTGAGAGCAAGTATTCCAGAGATTTTGATGGAGTCCACAATCATTATTATTTTTTTTTTAAGATTTACGCAAATTATCAATGCTTGCAATCTTTGGCGAAAGTCGAAAGCATCTTAGGGAATTGATAAACTTGCTACGTTTATACTATTGGTGCGTTGAATGATGGGCGAAGACTACAAACTTTGAAGGGCTTATTTTCATCTTCGCATTTGTGGGCGTTTCTTAATATGGCAAATTATTATGATATTGATGATGTTTTAGCTGAAGAGGAGGTAAATAGAAAAAACTTGATTTCTTATTGCTTTGTACATCTATGTTATCTTTTGGCTTTTTACTAATTGTTGAAGTTTTCTGTTTTTTCAATTGGGGCAAAAAAAAAAAAAAGTTTTTACCAGTTTTATTCCAGCAAGGAGCGGAGGGGGTCGGGTTATTTCATTCTGGTGATGATGCGAATGAGGTGATCTGTCAGTCATTCTGGGGTAGAGGGGTGAGTCTATGCATGTTATGTTTGTGCATTTGTGTTGATGTGATTGTTTCTCGTAATTTCAGGTTGAAGCTGGTGCAAAAGTAGAGTTGCCATTTTGTCTAGCTCGAGATTTACATGTGAGAGGAGTGGTCGCCATTGACGTTCCACCATACTTCAGAAAAGTGTAAAACTTATCAGACTACTAGTTGATATCTTCTTTCTTCTTGTTGGTTTTGTTCTGTGGACAAATTCCTCCGATTTTTGTCAAGGGAAGTGCTACAGTGTAATGGTATTTTAGTAGGTCTTCACTAAAATGTGGTTCATGATCCATACTTTAGAATCTGGCTTGCTCTACATGTTCTCATACTTCATGAAGACAATGCAACAAATCACAATAACTTTTATTGCATTTAACTGCAGACTTAGCTAATGAATAGTATTTGATATAATGATGTGATGGATGATGTTTTCCTTCATTTTCTGTAGATGCCATCTTATTTAGTCTCTCAAGCAGCTGGTTTGTTAAAAAGGTCGATTTTATTTACCTGATGATTTTACAGGATGAGTGGCTTGAATCAAATAATTGCATGTTGTGCTTTTTGGAATCACTTGAAGTTCTCCAAATGCGTTGTGACTTCTGGAATGCCTTTAGTTGTCTGTGAAAGTTATATAAGCTCGATTTTGGTCAATTTATATCATTTGAGGTTTCCATCAGTTCTAGGACACGCAAGGAAATTGAAGCTGATGCTGCACATGTGGATCTAAGAAGTCGAAGCCAATATTTCTATGAACTAGGACTAAAAATAGTACCACTGTAAGTTTCTTGTTTATATTTTAGTCAATACCTGCTAATATTCGACTTGTGAATCTGGTTTTGAAGTACCTTTTCCCGGTCACAGACCTCCATACAACCAAGATCCACCAGAAAATTCTAAGATATAAAGATAGAGATATTACGTCATGTAAAAATATCTCGTTCAGTTGAATACAAGAATGGAAACACAAGGGCATCATGCTAATCTTCATATTGAGCATAGTACCAATTTTGTTCCTTCAACATAAAAAAATATCATGCTAATATTATGTAGTTAAGCATAGTACCGATTTTGTTCCTTCAACGTCAAAAAATTGACAGGTTGTTGATGTTAGCTTTGTTTAATCAGACCACAATGTATTTGAGCGCATGCTAATGGCATCTATAATGAACGTTGATCGGCTAGGTTTTAAGTATAGGTGGCAAACAAACCCATTTATCTAAATTTACCCATACCCACCCATAAATAGATGGATATGGGTATCTTAAGTTTTTGCATATGGGTATAAATGGGTTACCAAGTAATACCCATTTATTAAATGGGTTACCCAGTAATACCCATTTATTAATGAGTATTACTGGGTAATCCATCAAACCCAATTAACCCATTTAGAGTTGTCTTTCCCCAAGTCTCCTCTCTTTCCCTATCCATTTTTTTTTAGATTCTTCATTTTGTCATGATGTTAACTACTTTTGTTTCATTATTATTATTATTTGTTGATTTTATCTTATCATTTTATTTTCTCTTAGTTTGTTAACTTGCTCATTTTTCAGCATTACCAATTTATGACAAGTTTTAGCCTCTTTTCCTATCATTCCAAAATAAAATTTTAAATTTACACACGAAAAAATGCTAGGGGCTCAAAATTTTTGGGTTAAGTTTTTATATTAATTTTTATAGTACTTAGTTCAAATTTTTGTATTCTTATTGTTCAATTATTAAATAGTATATAATTTTGTGACATAGAGTACGGATGGGAAAAAAATTGATAATTAGGCTTATTGAGCATTATAAGTAAATATTTAAAACTAATGGTGGGTGGAAAGAGTGGTATAAATTGATAACTTAGTTTGCAAAAATAAATTTAAATGAGTTTATAAAAAGTTAAAATAAATGGGTTATAAATGGGTAATTGGGCTAATACCCATCTAATTAAATAGGTATAAATGGGTTGACTCACTTATACCCATTACCCCTTTTAACCAACCCAAACCCGCCCAACTCACCTATTTTGACACCTCTAGTTTTAAGAAATGTATTTTGATTTTGTTGTTGAAATTTTTAGAAACAGAACTTAGCCTGATCAGATGTTGCTAACAGTTTTCCAGCTGAAAGCATCATGAAGATGGTTAAATGTTAAAAAGTTTGTGGCTGTGCAAGAGAAACAAAATGTCAAAGATAAAAGTTTGGTATAAAATTAAAATGGAAATATGCAGGAACTGTATGGCTTTGCAAAGGCTTGTTGACATTGACAATAACTTCATTTGGGCAGAAAATATGCGTGCTACATGGTTGCATATATTAAACATGTTAGGTGCTTTGTCCTGTTCTTTTGCGCTTGCACTTTTTCAGAACCTTTTGGCATAAAATGCATCACCTTATAGGAGCAACAAGAATAGCAGTCTGTTTAGCCAATGTGCTGAGGAAAGCTATCTTAGTCTTTCCTCTAAAGGAGTAGTTGCACTCCTTGGATTGCATTGACATGAAAAAGACCCTGATTTCCTTTACCTCATCATATCCTGAGTAATGAACAATGTGAACAAAAAAGAAAAATATGAAAGATAAGAAATCCAATCTAGTGAAACAAATTTTAAGTTGAAGAATTATGATTAAACCATTGTTCTTCACCTCCTTCTACTTCCCTTTTCTTAATGCCTAATTCCTTGCCATTTGCTTGCATATGATTGCAAGGTTTTTGTATAGAATATGCCTGTCTAGTTTTCAGCAATAGGTACATCGTATTTGCAAGAAATGTATTGGTTTTTATTTTTGTGATATGATAATAATTTTTTTCTTTCTCTTTTCTTCTGATACAACAATAATATTTTTTTGGGAGCCAACAAGGAATAAAAAGAAATAATTGGGACAGCATTGTGACTCATTGGCTACTAGCCATCTTATTGAGAAAGACATTCATAATCAATAACAGTGTTTCTGGAAGTGCCTCCTAGGATTTTATAAGGCTCTGTAAGTATAGTGGGTGTAGATTGGTCTGTGTGTGAGAGGAACTAAAGCAGAGAATGAGATAAGGAAGAACTGGCCATGAGTGGGTGACAGATGTCTCCATTTTTATTAAATTCTCCAGATCTACTTTTCTGGTTGTTCACGGTTGGGAAAAAATAAGTAAAAACAATAAACAGAAGAAAGAAAACAGAACTCCGGTAAGTTGGCTCCGTAAGTTATTTTACACCCGAAGATAGTGAATGAATTTCTGCTGCAAATCATTTTCCTAGCCTTAAAAACCGACAACATGAGACAGATGAAAATATCTTCTAGAAATTATTATTGCTCCAATCAAACTCACGTACTTTAATCTCTCTCTCTCTCTCTCGCTCAGGAATTAAATCTGAAGACTTGATTAATTCCTACCACTGATTATACACGATATTAGTGGCTTACCATATTATTGGGTTTATTCTTGATAAACAGGGCTGGTGACAAAAGCATTGGACCTTTCCTCCTAGTTGCATTTCAGACCAGATATAAGGAGGTTCTTGTAAAGGCACATACTGCTGCATCTGCAGTGGCTTCCAAGCACTTGACACTTCTAACAAATGAAGAGGTTAAATGTAAGATGAATACAATTAGTTGATAGTTTCGTTTTATATGTGTTCCTTCTCTATTGCCTTTTATTTTTTTCTCTCTTTAGAATCTAATGTTTTGAATATTGATCCTATGGCTATTGTTTTTTGAAGTATGCGAAGCTGGTCAATCATCGACAGCAGCATTCAAGAAGTGGCGGATGGGAGCGCCAAGATTGCAAAAAGCTCCTGTTCTTGGTAGGAAGAGGAAACCAATTGAATAGGTGCTGTTTGTTATATTGTGTAATGGATGGATGTCATTACACGAATGCCACTGTAGGTAAGAGATTAATGAGAATATTCAATTATGTTCTTAAGTAGGTCAGGAATCTGGAGAATAATTTTGATGCTAGCTTATGCAGTTTTATTTAATGCAACAAATTATTCTAGGTATCAGAAAATTTAAAGACAATCTTCAATACTGTTCGTAGTTCCTTATTGCCTCCCATTTTCTTTCTTGTTTGCCACTAAGGTTGTTACTTTGAAATATGCCTAAAAGTGCTGTACAAGTACTGATAATATAGCCATTCTGACAGAGTATAATGTGCATGTCAAATCCAATTTCCAGCAATATGCAACTAATTTTTATTGCCTTTCCCTGCTTGGTATGACTGAATGATTGCAACACCATTGTTCCACCAAAGAGCTTGCTTCTTCAAGTTTTGTTTTTTGAGTAACTTCACATGTATTTTGGGTGCATTGACCATTAAAATTCATACTGAAGGTGTAAATTAAAAACTGAACGATGAAATTGGGAAGCATAATTACCTCTGTATGTCATTTTTGTTAAGCATTGATGAATTCAGATTTGCATACTCAACTTTTCCAGGCTCAGCAGTCTTTCTTTATTCAAACTGTTCTGAGTCTCTAGGTTGGTTTTCAAAAAGAAAACTGGCAGCTCTCAGTCAAATTTAACATTTGAGTTCTTTCAATCTGACTTCTTTGTTGTTTGTAGAATTCTGGGTAATGTGCTTTATAGCAAATTGATGTTGTTGAAAGACTGTACAGATTAATATAAGAAGTTGTGCTCTAGATAAAGCTGAACTTTGAAATAGGTACTAAAAATAATTCAGGTGCGGAATTTACTTTTCATTTGTGGATGAATCCCCTAGAGGTGAATTGGCTGTAAGCCTAACCTATAAGACAGTGCTTTATTCAGCATTGCCAGTGTATCTATTAAGTCTACTATTGATTTGTCAAGCCACAGCCGCAATTCTTGATTTTGTGGAGCACAATTTTAATCCCGCATCGAACAATGGCAAGGAAAAGTCGGTTGCTGAAGGTTATAAATAGAGGGCTCCTATGAAGGTTTGATTTGCACCACTTAAGAGAGTTATATGGACTATTAGGTTCTTGAGTCATCTAATTCATTTATAGTCAAATATTTTAGGTTCTCTTGTTTTGTGTTTAGGAATATTTCCTAAACCTTTTATAAGTGCCTTTTGGATTATGAATCACTTTCCTACGGCTTTTGTATTTTTTTTCATAGTAGAAATCCTTCGCCCGTGGACGTAGGTCAATTTGACCGAACTACGTAAATCTTCTATGTCTTTTATTTGCTTTGTTATTTTGTCTTTATTGGGTTGCCACAACCCTTTTATATGGTCGATTTTACCGCCTAATTATTATATGATCGGTTATATCGCCTATTTTGTTCTAATTTTAGTTTGTTAGGACTGGCCCAAGAATAAACAAACTAAAGTTAGAACAAAATAGGCGATATAATCGACCATATAATACTTAGGCGGTAAACAGCAGCCATATAATGATTAGGCGGTAAAACCGACCATATAAAAGGGTTTTGGCAACCCAATAAAGACAAAATAACAAAACAAATAAAAGACATAGAAGATTTACGTAGTTCGGTCAAATTGACCTACGTCCACGGGCGGAAGATTTCTACTATGAAAATGAAATACAAAAGCCGTAGGAAAGTGGTTCCTAGTCCAAAAGGCACTTATAAAAGGTTTAGAAAATATTCCTAAACACAAAACAAGAGAGTCTAAAATATTTAACTACAAATGGGTTAGATGATTCAAGAAACTAATAGTCCATATAACTCTCTTGAGTGGTGCAAATCAAATCTTTATAGGAGCCCTCTATTTATAACTTTCAGCAGCCGACTTTTCCTTGCTATTGTTCGATGTGGGATTAAAATTGTGCCACACAAATCAAGAATTGCGGCTGTAGCTTGACAAAGTAACAAATCTCCGCCTTGACATAAATTTTAGTCTCACCATGGATAATAGCAAAACTGCTCCATCTTCTCCACATAAGTTCCAATGGGCCAAATCACATACAACGAACACAATCAAGTCCAAGCACTGCTTGAAATTGTAAACTGGAAGAGGTTTCGTAAACATGTCAGTTGGATTGTTCTTGGTATTGATTTTCTGAATAAGGACCTTTCCTTCAGCAATGATATCCCGAATGAAGTGATACTTCACATCAATGTATTTCGTCCTCTCATGATACATCTGATCTTTAGTCAAGTGTATGACACTTTGACTATCACAGTAAATAACAGTAACATCTTGATGTAAACTAAGTTCGCTAAATAAACTCTTCAACCACAAGGCTTTTTTAATTGTCTCGGTCAAAACTATATATTCTGCTTCTGTAGTAGACAAAGTTACGACAGATTGTAGAGTACCTTTCCAACTAACAGCACAATCACCAATGCAAAATACATAGGTTGAAAGTGATCTTCTCCTGTCAAGATCCCCAGCGTAGTCTGAGTCTACAAAATCAACCAAAGTGTTATTATTTCTTCCAAACTCCAAATATGTATTTGAAGTACCTTGCAAGTATCTGAGAATCCACTTCATAGCCTGCCAATGTGCTTTACCAGAGCAAGACATATCTGCTAATAACACTGACTGCATGTGAGATATCTGAACGAGTACAAACCATTGCATACATAACACTGCCGACTGCACTGGAATAAGGAACCCGTGCCATATAATCTTCTTCTTCATCTGATTGTGGTGATTGAGCAGCTAATAGTCGAAAATGGCTAGCAAGAGGAGTAGATACTGGTTTAATATCTTTCATATCAAAATGTTCCAAGACTTTTTCAAGGTAATTTTTCTGGGTCAAAAACAACTTCTCTACTCCTCGATCTCGCTTGATATCCATGCCAAGAATTTTCTTAACTGCTTCCAAATCTTTCATTTTAAAATCACTATTTAACTGCAGTTTGAGAGTGTGAATTTCTGACAAATTCTTGGCAACAATGAGCATATCATCAACATAAAGCAGCACATAAATGAAAGAATCATCATTTAACTTTTGAAAGTAAACACAACTATCATACATGCTTCTCAAATAACCATGACCCAACATAAAGGAATCAAACCTCTTATACCACTGTCTTGGAGACTGCTTCAATCCATATAAGGATTTCTTCAATAAGCAAACATGGTCTTCCTTACTTTTAATTTCAAAACCTTGGGGTTGTTTCATATAAATTTGTTCTTCAAGTTCGTCATGCAAGAAAGCTGTCTTAACATCAAACTGCTCTAACTCCAAATCATACATGACAACTAAAGCAAGCAAAACACGAATAGAACTATGTTTAACAACAGGTGAAATAACTTCATTAAAATCAACACCTTGCACCTGACTATAGCCCTTTGCAACTAATTATGTTTTATATCTTGCATTTTCAACCCCTGGAATACCTTCCTTTTTCTTGAAGACCCACTTGCAATCAACTATTTTCTTATTTGACGGCGACTTTATAGGAACCCAAGTTTCATTTTGATGAAGAGATTCAATTTCTTCATTCATCGCAATCAATCACTTTGTAGAATCATCACAAGAAACTGCTTCTGAATAAGTGGAAGGCTCACCAACTGCATCAGTTTCTTCTGCAACAGACAAAGCATATGTAACTAAATTTGCATATCTTTGTGGTGGTCGAATGTCTCTTCTTTGTCTATCTCTGGCTATAGAATACTCCACTTCTTCTGAACTATCTTCAACAGTAGATTCAGGTGCATCTACCGGTACTTTTTGAATAGAAGATTTGGTCTGAGAAGAACCAGAACTGCCAAATATCAAGCTCCACTTGCTTCTGTGTACTATTAGTAGTACAAGGACTAGAAGACTCCTTCTTGGAAGATAACATATACAATTCATCAAAAGTCACATATCTACTGATCACAAATTTTGGGGATTTGGAATTAGGACACCATAATTTGGTGATGTCTGTATTTGACAAAGATGATGTTGAAACAGCAACACCTATAACAGTAGATCCCTGCAAAATATATAAAGTACCAGATCTGTGTGTTTTCATAACAACAAGAGCATCTCGAATGATTTTGAGAACTACATCTCCATCTGAATACCTGCACCCAATAAACTCAAGAGTGCCCAAAGAGATGAGATTTTTCTTCAAATTTGGAACATGTCTAACATCTGTCAGTGTCCTCACAATACCATCGTACATTTTAATCCGGATTGTGCCTTTGCCAACTTTACAAACAACGTTATTACCCATTAAGACAACTTCACTTTCAGTTGATTCGTATGTTGAAAACCAGTCCCTATTGGGACACATATGATACGAACAACCCGAATCTAAAATCCACTCACTGTTAGACCTAAAATTATTTTTCGTTGCACAGAAAATGGTTCCATCATTCTCATCAGTTGCTATACTAGGTTCAGCGGATTCAGTATTTTTCTCAACAAATTTTTTCTTTTGCTTTTCTTTATTTTTCAATTTAAAACAATCAGAGATAGCATGACCCTTCTTTTTATAATAGTTGTACACCACATTTTTATGTCTGGACTTGGATCTACTTCTATTTCCTGCTTTTCTTTTTTCAGATCTACCCCGAACAAACAAGCTATCGGCTTGACTTCCAACTAGTTTTTCCAGTAATATCCCTATCTATCTGCTCTTTAGATTTTAATGCAGATTTAATTTCCCGATACGAAATTATTTTCTTTCCATAAATCATAGTATCACGGAAATACTTAAAGGATTGAGGAAGGGAACACAAAAGTAATAGGGCCTGATCTTCATCATCAATTTTTGAATCTATATTCTCCAAATCCATAATAATGGAATCAAATTTATCAAGATGGGAGAGTATAGATATACCTTCAGACATTCAAAATATATATATACTCTGCTTCAGATATAGCCGATTCTCGACTGTCTTTTCACATACAAGGCTTTTAATTTATTCCACATAGCCTTGGCCGAAGTCTCCGTTGCTATCTCACGCAATACCTCATCGGAGAGATTTAAGATTATGATGGATCTGGCCTTCTTATCCATATCGGCGAAATTCGCATCCTTTACATCTTCTAATTTTTTCTCAAATCCCTGAATTGCCAAGTTAACTCCGTCTTGAACCAAAATGGCCTCCATCTTGAGTTGCCACATGCTGAAATTGACATTCCTGTCGAATTTCTTGACAACCGTCTTTGTTACCGTAATTGTTGTCACAAAATCTGTAACTTGAAATTTATTTCAAAAAATTGGTCAAATAAATATGCAAGTCTCGTGACCCGGCCCCATAGAATAAGCG